AGAATAGAGAGAGGAGGGTAGTGGGGAGTTCACTAAGCGCTATAGGAGCATGCAGACGATAGGGCACAACTAGAGTTGTACCGTCATGGATGGGTGAGAAAATGAGATGAGAAGGGAGTAACAAGAGGAGGCAATAGGGGAGGAAAGAAAAGGCAAAGGAGAGACGAGAGGGAAGGTGAGGAAGTGAAGGGAGAGAGGTGCGAGAAGACAAGAGGAGGAACAAGGAGACATGGGGAGAGGATAGTTTTCTGTTATGTTCTGTTATTATTGCACCACCTCCTACCACACTGCAGTTTTCTCTTTGGACTCAGTTAGCAATGCTACTAAATTATAGTGTGTTATTGGTGTAGTTTGCTACGATACCGTCTTGTCAGCTGCTTAGGGGGAAGTAAAGGTCATATCAAATATTAAATGCCTTTTATGTGTTGTTACATTGTGTTGTATTATTACACTATATGTCAAATAAAGGGCAAGGATGGCATCTTTTCTTATTTTCATCTAAAAATTCAAAACTATTTAGTATTTCTATTAAGTGTCAGGCAAGTGATTGTTTTTCCATCTTGTAAACTGTCAAATGAAGTCCTAAAATTCCTACATTTATTGGACTAAAATACAAACCTTACTTGGCACTGGCACTGTAAAGAGGTTACAATGTAAAATCCATGTAGCTTAGAAATGCTTAGGCATATTCACCACTGAACTATTTAGTTAAATAGTTAACTATTAGTTAAAAGAAAGTATACTTCTACCTTTTGGCATGAGTTTAGGAAAGGTTTTTTTTCGCTTTCAGGTTGACAATACCCATGTGCACAAAACCAGGTCCATAAAGAAATGGTTTTCAGAGTGAGGAGTGGAAGAAATTGCCTGGCCTGCAGAGCTCTGACCTCAACCCAAGCCAACACCTTTGGGATAAACTGGAATGTTGACTGTGAGCCAGGCGTTATCACGCAACATCAGTGTTGGACCTCACTAACACTCTTGTGTCTAAATGGGAGAAAATCCAGGTTTCAAAATCTGGTGGAAAGTCTTCCCAGAAGAGTGGAGGCATTTACGGCAGCAGATTAATGCTTATACCGTTGGAATGACCTCAGCAACCACAAATGGATATACTATTTGGATGTCCACCTACTTTCTGCCCTATGTTGTGCATCTATCAGCAGCTCTTCCAGGTAGTTCACAGACTTAGCTAATGTCCAATATCAGCAAATCCTGGTGTGAGTTCCCTACCATTGCAGTTGGTGGTAATTAGGAGAGGACAAAATATTTTAGCATAGGCAGATTAAGATTGAACATGAAAAGCAAAGCAAAGAATAAGAGAAGAATGGATCAGGATACTAACTGCAGGCTGAGAGTAGAGTCAAGACAAGACATACTTGAAGTTAAGGTTGAGGACCTCTTAAAACAATCACCAATTTCTGCTTTTCATTAATGAAATAATTGTGTTTCAGTCACATACGGTCTTAGAAAGGACAGGAGACTTTTTTGCGTATAGAACCATGTGTGTTTTCAGTGTCCTTGAACAAGGCCCTGAACACCAATGTTTATCTTACTCAACCTAAGACAACCTTCGGGTCATAATATAATGTAATAATCCAGTTAACCTATTAAAAGAAGACTAAAGTTTTATAAATTAAGTAAGTGAGGGTGAACTATGTGAGGGTTGGTTCGCAGGTGTAGGTCTCCATGGACTACATAACTATTCACACTCAACAGCACAGGGAACAATTCCAGCAGGACCACACATAAACAAAATGCCAAACTAGTCAAGTATGAAACTGTGAAGACTTTGAGTTTGTGAGTACCCTGGCCATGTTGCAGATCCTGAAGATTCGATTGATGATGTCTTCATCGATGTCTGCCGATATGAATTCCACTTGAATGGGACCATAGCAACACGAACTCTTTTCTGGCCAGTACTGCATACATAACTATAGAAAACAGATGTATAGAGAGAGACAAAATAGAGAAGAAAAGGACGGGATGTAGAAGAGAAAAAGCGAGAAAAAGAAAGTTTACACGGTTTAACAGGTACATTCAAATCGATTTCTTTCAAGTAGCGTAACAGCGCAAATAATAATTGGAAATAAGGAAAATCTTGTATGAATTCACTTCATTTATTATGAAGATTATCACCACCATGGCTGAAAGTAAATTCCCTTCCCAAGTTTTTATTCTTCCACACTCAGGCCTGATAAAAGAGAATATAATTATCCATGCAGGATCAGAATGAGATAAAGCTGACTTGCTGGAAATAAAACACATGAAAATAAGATTGAAACTTCAGCAAATTTTTCCTTCTACACACCTGCCAGACACACAAGAGAAATAATGTAATGTAATAAGTATTTATTACGTTTTTTCAACCAGGTTTGTATTCAACAATCACGGGTGGTTGACTGTTAGCTGTTCGGTCTAATCCAGCGGAACAAAGAGATTTTAATGAAATATTGACCAACTGTGGCAGTCGCAGTTAGTATTACATCCTGTGTTATGTTGAACTCTGTTAATGAGTATATGTTGAATATTAATTTAGCATTTTAGGTTGGTAAAATTTGTTTATGAATTCTTTAATAACTGCTTACATTACAAATGAGTTTCTCTTCATTCTTTTTTAATCATTTTGAGTCAGATGTAGGATTGTGCAAAACTGTAACTAAAACCTTCTCAGTTGTTATGTTTTAAATCCAAGGACAATGTGTCAATACACATTCACATTCAAAAATTGTCTTTGGGGGTATTGATCAGGCCCTGTGATGTTACAGTTGATGTGTCAGCTCCTGGCAATCTGCTGTCTGGTCTTCTTCATAAAACTAAGTTAGCCAAAAGCAAATGGAAAATGGACAGGGAATACATGTGTATCTGTGTGTGTGCATGTTTGTGTGTTTGTACCTGTGCTGCATCCATCTCATTGAGCATTACAATAGAGGAGCAATTGTAGTCGAACACCAGCCTCCAGAAGTCGCCCATGGTGTTTGGCAAAGGATGCTGGGTAACAATGAAGGCCGCTGGCTGTTTGTGGCTCTGGAGTGTTGAGATAGACCAGGAATAAATAACCACAGCAAGCAGAAAATAAAACAGAGCAATGATACAATGCTAATACATTGGGGAATCTCTGCAGCACTGAAAAGTTACAAAAAGCTTTGAAGAATAGAAACACCTAATGTTTAAAAAGGACAATACACACACATTCACATGCCAAAATACACACTTACGTCCATTAATGCAGCATTGATGTAATTGGAGCTCTCTCCGTCCACAGATATGAGGAAAGGAAGGCATCGGTCTGCTGATAGAACGTCCAAACTGCGGTTCTTGTCGTGGTTCCTGGGTAGCAAACCCACGCTGCAGTCCTCTGGACGGACTCTAGGGGTCACTATATTCAGAGTCTGATGGACATAAAAATGGTTTATTAATTCTACATTAACTTTAGTCTCCTAAAAAGACAGCCTACTTATTGAATAGGTTAATAGAGCAAAGGAGATTGGAACAAAGCACTCTTCAGATTGTTCACAATCACTATGGCAGGGTAGGATTGCATTTAGGGTTAGGACTTCAGTCTCCAGGCAATGAATGTAAGTCCAGTCAATATCCCCAAGTTACAGATGACAAAAACAAGAGTGTGTGTGTGTGTGTGTGAGAGAGAGAGAGAGTGTGCATGCTCACCTGGAACTCATCTTTAATCTGGCTGGAGTTGGTCTGTGGGTCCAGTCTGCTGATGTTGTAGTAAATGGCTCTGAACTCACACACTGGTATGGCTGTATTCCCACATAGACACGCCTCCAAGATGGCATCGTGAACAAACACATATTGCTCCTGCAATGTGAGCAAAAGCGGTTGATAAAAGTCCACATTTCTTTTATAGAAAAAAGAGCAGACACAGGTTTATTCTTAAACCTGCATGTGGCCCATGGGCTTGACTGTAGTTTCTCAGTGTGGCTGTAAGCACTGACATCTCTTGGACAGAAGGCACAGTTGGGCTAAATTGCATCTCCTGCCTTTTCAAAGCTCAGACAAACTCAAAGAATCCACACACAGTTTTTCTTTCCTTTGTCTGTGTAAATTCATTATTTTTGTGCTCGTGCTTGCTTGGCAGCCTAAAAGTGAATTAAAAGGGAGTGGTGCTTTGCCCTGCAGTGTTTCTGTGCTCTGGATCAAGTGTGCTCTTTGTGCTCCAACTAGCTCTCCGGTATGAGCATCAGCCACCATGAGCTACAGCAGCCACTGTGCATGTTAATTTACCTCTCTCTCTTTCTCTCACACTATCTTTTCAGTTTTATCTAGAGTTTGTTCATTTTTATTTCTATTTCTCCAATTTCTTTCCCTTGTTTCCTAAAACTTGTGTTTGTCTGCTGTCTCTCGCTATTTCAATTTGGTTCCTACTTTATCTCTACATCTGTCTCTCTCTGTCGAATTTTAATTGTTGCCCTTGGAACGGCGAGGAGAGTTTCAAAAGCATCACTGACTGTCCACCAAATGTCCTTTCCTGCCCATTACCTACTCTGGTGACATACACACACACAAAAACATGCAAAAACACATGTCTGCACACACACCCAAACCCACAGACAACAGACAAACCCTCATTCTTACACACACACACACACACACACACAAACACATCTTTCCCCTGTGCCTTTTAAAAGATTAATTGCTTTGTGTTGTGCGGAGCAGGATTATAATAGCGTCAAGCAGCTTCAACACAGACACAAATTGCTCCCACACATATTCAAAAGGCAGGGCAGGATGCATTTAGCTTGGTTTCAAGTGTGCATGCACACACACACACACGCACATGCTAAACTAGCTTTTAAACCAATGCTGTCACACAAAACCCTCAAAGTGATGCCCTGGGTAACTTTCCTGAACCTAGCACTTCTCAAACCCATTGAGAAGTCAATTTCAGGCTCTGAGCTTGAGCTGTCAGTCTGAAAATGAGGCTGTTTTTCTTTATTCCTGCTAAAGTTGACTTTTGGATATGCAAGGTTTTCATCAGTAGTACAAATGGAATGCTGAGGCGGGATGGATTAGGCCAGCTTAAGGTAGCTTAGAGAAGAAATGAATACTTCTGTTCCAAAATGAAACACCCAACATTTGAAGACGCAGACTCTTTAAAAAATAATTGATAGTACAAAATTAGAACAAATTATGACACTGTGTAAAGAATAGCAAGCAACCCAAGTCCTCGGATGACAAAAATACAGAACTTCAGGAAATAGATCCTCCATGTTTTGGGGATACTGAACAATAGACCTCAAGAAATGTAGTGTAAACTGATCTATTTTTTGATCTCTTCTTACCCTAAAGGTGTGGACAGGTCTACTGATTAAGCTTAGCCAGCTCTAATTTAAGCCAGCAGTATAGTTATTTATACTTACTGTATAAGTACCAGTTAGCACTGGTTAGCTCAGTTGGGGGAATTATTTACGTACTATCTATCTATCACAATCTATTCACATACAGTTTGCACTGGTTAGTTTTATCACCTAATATATAAATTGTAAATGAAAAAACTGCATTGGTCCTGAAGAAACTAAAGTAATTTAACTTGAACTATGTTTCAGCAACTAAGTAGGCCTACTTGGAAGATTTATGTGTTTGTTTATGTTCGTAAACCTCACACTATATTCCTTATCACGAGCTGAGAGCTGCCACACACACTGTTTGTATGTGTGCGTGTTTGATTTAGAGAATTTGTGTATGCTGTATGTGTGTGTTTGCAGTAGTGACATCTATTATTCAGGGAATGTTTAATATTGATAGACTGATTGGGATAGATGATATAAGACTGCAAGGAGTACTGAGAAACTCTCTTTCTATGCTCCTGCATCGCATACTACATGCAGAAGGACATGCGGACAGACAGCAGCATGCTGCTATCTAATGAAGCTAAGAGAGTTACGGTTTTTACTACATACAAACTGTGGATTTGTGGAATATTTCTGGATGTATTAGAGACACAGTGTAAGCCAGTGAGTATGTTTCATGCTGTAGACCTTCTCATTAAGGCTTGCTACAACTTCCTATCAATAATCATTAGTTACTGATGATTAGTTCTCGCTTGAATTAAAGTTTTCATGCTCTACTGGAAATTTAAAAAAATGCAGTGCATAATTTTTCATCCTTCTAGAGCAGTGTACTTTTTGGGAAACTATGGTTGTGCAAAAGAGTGTGTGTGTCTTTTGTGTTGTATGTACACCAACCTCTGTCTGGACCATGTTGACTCGTTGTGATCTCAGCTCTCTGATGCAGTTGAAAATGTCCACCACGCCTTCATTCTCGGCCATGTCCAACATGATGTCCACTGCAATGAAACAGCCCGTCCTCCCTGCGCCAGCACTGTGGAGACAAATGAAGAGTCACAACATTGACTAGCTAATAATTAAATATTACTACAAGCTCAACCACTTTTAGCTGGGCTGGATTTTTAAGTATTTATTATTTATTTGAATTGTCCATAGACATTAAACATTTTACTCCAATATTCCAAAATATAATATTATATACTATAGACAAACATCATTTATAAATCACCACTAAAATATTAAATATGATATTAATGACAATATAAAGTCACTTCCTACATTATGGGAAAGAACATGAGGTCTGGGTTAAAAAAGTACCTGATCATTGCCATGTATTTATCTATGTCTAAGTTATTTGAGGACCAACAGTGATTATTTACAAAAAAAGGTAATTGTCAGGAAACTGGAAATATGTTGACTTTAGCGTTTGAACAATCAACCAGTGTTATTGTTTCTGATCAGAGCAGGCTATAAATGATGATAGTTGTTACTGAAGTGTTGCATTTTTATATAAAGTGTCATATTATATTCCAGAAACACTGTAAAACTATCACTTCATTGACTGTCTGAAAGAAAATCTGATGGCCTACGTGATGTCTGAAACACACAGCGTTAAGTGTGAGGAGGGAGTCTCTCTGTCTCTCCCTCTCATACACACACACACACACACACGCAAACATGTACAGACTTTAATACCCCATGTCAGGTGTTAACACGACACATCCTGAACAGTAATGCCTAGAGGACAGAGACGGATGGAGGGACAGACGAACAGATGGATGGATGGATTGAATGAGCAAGGGAGAGAGAGGGAACGGTGGAAAGAGGTTAGTGATTGGGAGTGATAGAAGTGGTCGTCACAAGGGAGAGATCAAGGGAGGAAGGGAGGCATGGAAGGAGGGATGGAGCAGGGAACTGAGAGGATAAAGTATGGAAGGATGGAGAGAGGGAGGGGAAAAACCTATCTTTCACTTTGCAATCCCCCTGACAGTTCCCAGAGACAGCTAGAGAGGGGGAGAGAAAGAGAAAGAGAGAGAAAGAGAGAGAGAGATAAGAGCATAGAGAGAGGAAAGATAGAAAGGAGAAAGAGAGAGAAAAGGAGGGAGCGCCTCGGCAGATTACCTGTCAACCTCTGTGATTAATGTTGAGAACAGAACACTGCTGGGCCTCTGTGTGCGTGTGCATGCGTGTATGTGTGTGTTTGAAGGCCTCATGACACAGGCCAATAGCGTCAGAGTGCCCCTGGAAATTGGAAGTGACTGCCATAACTTCCTGCCTGCCTGTCCACATACTTTTACTATAGCTGTCTGTTTACATGTCTGCTCGACTCGTTTGTCCATCTACTGCTTTCTTCCACTTTCTTTCTGTTTGTTCTTTCTTTTTTTAATCTAATTGCCTGTCTGTCTTTGTCTCTGTGGGTCTCTGTCTCTGTCTATCCAGCAATTGGAGCCCATGAGTGTGTGTGTTTTATGAATTGAAAGACAAGCTAATGTTGTACTAAGCTGCAACTCTAGACTCTTTTGCTTTCAAAGGGTTTAATAAGATGTCACAAAACTTAAGTTTTTTGTTTGATTAAGTTATTTATTAAGTAACGTTTTATTCCTATGCACTGCATACAGTTCACTTATGAAAGGCTTGTCTACAACCTAGGAATGTATTGTGTAAAAACTTTTCAGTTCCACAAGAAATACTTGATTGTAATGATTGTAAATACAGGGAACTTTATTTATTTATTGTTGAAGTCATGTCATTGTGAGAGTGCCGAAATAGAAGAGAAGGGACTGTGTTGAAAAGTAAGAGGCTCTGAGAAGAGACCTAAAGCAAGAGTTGGTTTCTGAATAGCAGTAGCTTCTAGAAATTATGATTATATACTACTAAACTGTTTAGCCAAACAGTTTTTTGAGGTGAGTCAAATTCCACCCTGGATATTTTGGCAACTTGTAGAAGTTGCTATGTTTTTGCACAGAAGATTTTGGGAGATGGTCAAGGTAGATGGGGGCCACATAAAAGAACAAAGACTCTGCATACTCAGCACTCTGGTGAAGGTCAGGGAAAGATTGTGGTTTCGGTTACATGTATCTTCTGCTTCAAGTCACTGTTTGGTTTCTTAATATTTAACCAAGACAACGACCTTTCCCTGACGAGTGCTGTGAGTGCCTCTGCAATATGATCTTGTCCCACCAACCACAAGACTTCATACCACACCGGGAGCGTTTAACCTGCCCAATTTTGTTGACTTGCTCAGCTTTTGTTGATTTGGTAATTTTTCCTTGATTTTTGTGCTTCTACCACATGTAAGTCTTTGCCTTTTCTGTGTCTGGCTTTCCACCTGTCCTCTCTGTCCTTTGTCTCTACCAGGCACTATATGGCAGATTAGGGGTTTAACTCCCATTGTCGCCACCAATTCAAAGCTATGTGTTGTATTAAGGTGGACCACCAAATGGAATGCATAAATTTGCTCATGCTAATGTGAAGAATCAACTTCAAACATTTTTTTTGTCATGGTTTGTCAGAGTGCTGACCTTTTAAAGCTTATGCCTGCTGACAACCTAGCCCCAGAGTTGAACTGTTGTGTCCCATAGAGAACAAAACATGGGGGTTAAATATACTGTCGCGATGGGGATCTTAAAACTGTCACTTTTTTCTTCTTCCTCTATTCCTGGTCAATGATGATGGTGGTGGGATGAAAATGGGGTTGAAGGTGAATTTCTTTCTCCCCTCCCCCCCCTTGCCTACTTTTCAAAGGTTAACAGCATAGAGTTGATTTATGGACGAGGGAGAATGGTATGAGTGTGGCTGTGTGTGATCATATTGGTACTATTCAGCATAGGAGGAAAGGCTGACAATGAAACAAAGGAGATTTTCAGGCTAAATGTTATAGAGTAATACAGACAGATTTGTCATTTGAATTACTTTAGATAGAAGACATGCCAAGTATTGCCCTTTAAACTCAACAAATGTAAATCAACTAAAATAAAAAATAGAAATAGTGTGCATTATTATCGTCTGTTCATCTCAGAGGCTAGAAAGTGGGTTGCTATAGTCACCATGTACTCATTATTGTTCTCATCTAAAATCAGAAGAGAGATATTTTTACTGATCTAACCAACAATTTCTCCAAACTAAACTACAAAATACATTGTAATTGCCTTCCAAAACAGCACATACAATGTATTTGTATCTACATCACAGTACAGTGCCTACATTATCTATTTATCAGTGCCTTCCATGACAAATGATTGTTACACAGATATTAATTTGATTGTTTTATGATCTGCCAATGCAGTTTAAAATGTTTAGTTGTGTGTTGAGGCGCAAAAACGAAGTTAAGGTTAAGGTTTGAGAAGGTCAAGATTATGATCATGGTTACAGGATGATCAAGGTCACGGTCAAAAGAAAACAATGTTGACTGGAAATTGGAAAAGAACAGCAGTTTGCCCAAGTCATATGCTTTGACCTCTTGTGGCACCAATAACAATCTCATAGTTCCTTTGTTTCAGACAGTCAACAGTCACTGTCACACCTCTGCTGGAGGTCCTTGTCAGGTCAAAGGAAACACTGCTTGTATTAGATATTTGAACAAATAACATAAGTTACTAGTTTTCTTTCTCGTAAAGACATTCCTTTTGTGTCTATATGTTTTACAAAACAATATACATTTTTATAACTTCGAAGGACAGATTTGAAGGTTATTTGTAGCTACTGTATACTAGGGATGGGGATCGTTAATATTTATTGATAT